CATTTGTTCTTTCTCCTGATGTAGTCTTTCTCAGAGAGGTTAACAAGGTAAATCATTGGTTTGGATGTCAAGAATAAGTATTTGTTCAACACTTCGATCTGTGATAAAGACAGACAAGGTAAGTATTGAGAATCCAAACTTTCCAAAGTGAGGACAGCACAGACAGAGATAAGTCAAGCCAAAACAAAATGAGGGTCTGGTGTATTAGCCTCTGTGGGAAGCGACTGTAAAGCCTTTAAATCAAGATCAGCATGGCCAGATGTCATTCACTTGCACGAACGTAATGTCAAAATACAACCAACTAAATACTGTACATTATATTAACTTGTGATTTGCATGAAAGACATGTTGCTTGAGAAAAATAAAAAATAAAAGCAAGGAAACTGCAGTTGTATTTTTAGATGAGATGAAAAGATTCACAAGGTAAATCACATTAATATATTGGACTGTAACATCAAAGGCTTACCTCCTTGTCGTTCCAATCATGATAGTAGCGGACATTTTTCTTTTCATCCACCACCCAGCTCTTGATTTTGCACATAACGTCCTGTTTGGGGTTAAAAGAGAATGAACAAGAAGCCATTAAAGGAGATGAAAAAGAATATAAACCCAGCAGGGTATGGGGTAATTATTTCCTAAATGCATGGCATCCTGATGCCAAAATGAACAATGGCTGTGCTCGCATTCAAGCAGGAGTGGCCTGGCTTTGACGGGGATGGCATGCACAAGACCCCCTTCCCTCCTTTAAATCATGACAAAATGCCTTCTGGGGTGTCTCGCTTAGAGTCACAGTTTTATACATCAATATTCCATCGGGACCGTTTAATGAAAGGGATAGAGAGAGGAGACAAAATTGGAAAGAGCAGGAAACTAATTGGAAGTTGGTTAGTTAGGTGTAAATTATTGGTCCTTCCTCAGGCACTTTGCAGAATGTAGTCATACTGAATAAGTACTAGTGAGGTACAGAACAAATTATTAACTGTTTCCTCTGGAGAAAATATTGAGCATTTCCAGCTATGTATGCCACATTCATTACTGAGGTACTTGTGGGTTGAGACCACAGGCAAGACTGGGTCTTGACAGGATCTGGAAGCGGAAAAGGGTGGGAAAATGGGAGGGAGGTAGTTATAAAATTTGTAATAAAGAAATTGAGCCTATTATTGTTGATCCAGCCCCACAGAAATTAGCGGAACACATTCTTTTTGTTCCTGTCAACTTGACCTCCCCCTTCATATAAAAACTCCCCCACCCCCTGCAACACTCCCCCTACCTCCTTTTCCCTCCCCAAACCCTTGCAGCACTTCACAATCACACTCCCTTTTGAAAGAACTGAGGAAAAAATCCTGCCAGAGCCTCAATTACACAATGGCAGAAAAAGCTCCACACACTGACCCCCAGCCAGCTGCATTCACTCTCTGCACATCTCTCTCCACAGGAATTCTAAAGGCCTTTTAGTCAGGCAGCCAGAGTGCAGCCAGCGGGAGAGAGCGCAGGAAGAGCTGCATACACTCCGCCCGCGCCGGCCCAAGTCTTCACAGAGAGATTAATCATCTGTGAAATGGAAACAGCAAACGGCCGGTGACACAGGCTGAACCCGCTCCAGGTTTCCCTCATCAGCTCGCAGCCGCCGTGCAGTGTTCCTCTAACAGGCAGGTGTTAATAAAAGGCATATAGGTCCCACAGGGGTCAAACACATACGCCTGCCACCATGAAGCGCCACTGGTGGCCCGGCTTCTTATTATTGTTTTGTAAGGATAGGGATTTTGAGGATTCATATGGACAAAGGCGATGAAACATTGTTCTTGTAAACACAACACCAGCAAAATGGATTTAAATCTTTATAACAATGCATACATATGAGCATTGTGCTCCTGCATGCAAATAAATACAGCCACAATGAAATTATATTAAGAAACTCTTTCAGAATGATAGCAGAATTTTACTACAATATGGTATTTTACAATAAATTCAAAATTCCTGATTTGGTTGTTTTTTTCCTCACAAAATCACATTTTCTTTAACACCATATCTTCAGCTGTGAGCTCATTCTGCAGCAGCAAGCGTATAAAAACTGAACCAATATCAACTTATTACGTTTTTTCTTTTGCATTCATTTTGCCCCCTATCTATCGGATAACCTCAGATATCCTTTTTAGCTTACAATGTTAATGCTCCCCTTATGCGTTTTGTCTCGCTCGAACATCCTGTTTCAGCAGGAAGTACATTAAAACAAGCTTCCCTAAAAACACTTTGTGTTTCATTTGTCACAAAGCACAAATATTCAACATTATTCTTTTTTGAGAGCATGCTCGATGTATCACACTATACTGCGTAATTATAAAGTATAATTATTCCATAATAAGTATGGAAAACTGTTTCTGTATCTTGCATGACAATGTGCAGTGCATTTCCTACGCTGCTTACATTTCTCTAAACTTTCATCACTGGACTTGATGAGAACAAACACAAGCAAAAATACAAAAGTGCATTTACTCAGAGTCCTTCATTTAATTGAGTTGCATTTTTTAAGCATATAGTATTTTTAGCAACACAGTGACCTGTGGTTTTGGCATGATATTATTCTTATTTGATTTTCACTGTCACGACATAAGACAACATGCATGTTTAAACCTCATTTTGGAATTTCAGTATAGATTAATGTAAACTACAACTGGTTCTGTTTAGTGTTGAAAGTTGCGTCATCTCGAATTATATCAGATTTACTAATGTGATAATAATCAGATATCTAAATGGTAAATTATTACATTTTAATGCCATTTTTTAAAATTTGACTACAAGCAGAATAAAAGCAGTTTTTGCTCATGAAATTTCAGTTCTACATAAAAATCTGTAGAGTGTATGAGTGTGACAATTTAAATTAGATCTTATTTCAAATGACTCAGTAGTGGGAAAAATCTAAGGCAGTAATCACCATCTAAATAGTTGCACAGAATTTCCCTTTTATTTCATAGCATCCTGTGGCTCAACGAAAGAAAGTACAAACACTATTGTTTCTTTTAAACTGTACATGTTTAGATGCAGGGTTGATGCACATGTCTGCATATAGATGCTGACAATGTGTGTATATGTGTCTGCGTACAGCTGAGCATGTCAAACTCCAGACTCAGCCTGTGAGACAATCATACAAACCCACCCCCCCACCCCCCCCCCTGCCCGCCCAATCATAAAAGCTTGTGCAGCCTTTGAGAAGCACCATTCTTTGCCATCTAAAGAGGTCTTCTATAGATTGTCACTTGCCGACGTGTGCACAACCTTTGACAAGTAATGTAGATCATTTTTATTCATTGCCTAAAATTGTTAGCAATTATGTGCGTAAGCGGCCACCTGCCTAGCCTGAATGGCTCCTGTCTGTGGGGCTACAGGGGTGTGGGGAAGTGCTGTTGGCTGCAAGGGTGTGTGTGTGTGTGTGTGTGTGTGTGTGTGGGGGGGGGTTTAGTCTGAGGGGAACCAACCAGGCAAGGGGCCTCTGCAGCAGGTGAAATAGCCCCTCTCGTTAGCGTAATGAGTGGTCAGAGCCTCGGTGTGTTGGGGCCTGAAATTGGGCATGCCGCTCCAAGTGAAAGGCCAGATCCCCTCGCGTGCTGGCCTATCTTATCCTGCTCCGATGATGGAAGGGCATCAGGAGACATTTACAGCCAAATCGTTGCTAAAGTTGGGTGCTAAGCCTCATTACCTTAACAATATGACCACCTGAATGTGTGTGCATCCACATGCATTTTGATCTGACATCGAGGATATGGATTTCTTTTTTCTGATCTTACCCTGCATTTTGCCCTGCACCTCGTTGCATATAACTGAGAATCCCCTGTCAAAGAATATTCTAAACATTTACGGTATTCATAGCGAGGTATATGGCATATGTGTCACCCACTGTATGGCCTTATACAATTTCCAAGCTGCTGTAGGTGTATAAGCATGAGCAAGAGCTGTGCCATGATTTGAGTATTACTTTAGATGAAAAGAGCTGTGTGGAAACACTTTCATTAGCCCAGTGCTGTGACCCAGGGTCAGCAGCTGAATAAGTAACTCTCTATTAATGATTTCTACAGCAGAAAACCCCTGACCCCTGATCACTTTCAATCTCAGAAAGGAAAAAAAATGGGGCAGGGGGAGGGGTGAGACCTATTGGAGGGAGATTAAAAAAAAATACTTTTTTTTCTTCTTGGCCATGTGTGTGGGAGGGTTATTATTTGTGCCTTGCTGTGAGGGAGAGCAAAGGGCCTGCTGGGACATTGACTCACATATTCTGGTTTGAGTTTCTTGTCACCGCCTCTAATGGCCGTCTTCTCCAGCTTGTCAATAACAGGGCCGATCATCTCCTCATCCTTCAGCCTCAGCTCCTCATGGATGATCTCCATATCCCTCACTGGGTCCACCGTCCCCTCAACATGGATGATATCCTCATCCTCAAAAGCGCCTGCAGCGATGGGAGACAAACACACAGAGAAAACATCAGTATAGAATTTTTTTTTCTTCTTCTTTTTCAGCAACAACACTGCTTTACATGAACATATATAGTACGAGCAACAGAATCAATGTCATTGACTTCTTGAGATCGAATGTGAAACGGTGATTAGATTTAGCCCAGAAAAATCGTTAGCTTTTGCAGAGAATGTGGGAAAAATAAACATCCACATGAAAAATCACAGTGGGAGTCACAGGAAAATCAAAAGAAAAAATAATAAAATAATTAGGAATATATTTTCAGTGTGCAAGTGTCAGAACTGTGAGAAACCATCTTACAGTGTGAGAGTTTCACCAAAACTGGCTTGAAGTGCAACAACCTGCATGAGAGAGAGAGTGTCTGGTCGTGCATTTTCTACCCTACTGTCTTAAAACTATTAGCTATTAAGTAAGCTAAAAATAGGACAAATAAACAAAAGTGAGTGAAAAGTGATCTAACAAAAAAAAAAAATCAACAATTACAAAGAAAGAGAACAGTCTTCCCCTAATCATTTGTGTCATAGCTGTGGCTGCGCTGGTGATTAGGTAATGAGGCTCTCAGACCATTTAGCCAACGGCAGCTCTCAGGACTCCCTCTGATTCTCCAGCAGTGCTCAGGGCTGAGGGGGGCGGCGGGTGAAGGGGACATCTGTCACACGAGAGTGACAGCCATTCACATTACCGCTGGCAACTGTAGTGGACTGTTCTCCTGAATGTTATTCCAATACATTCTTTAAATTTACAACCCACACAATATGTGCTCTGTTTGTTTTATAATATGACTCCTTAAGTAAAAGTAGAAATGATGCAACATAAAAATAATCCAATACAGACTGTAAGTACACGCCCTGCAATAAAAATGTCACTTAAGATAAAGCATTGTTAGCAAAATGGGCTTAATGTATCAGAAGTAAAAGTACTCATTATGCTGTTATATATTGATTACTATTATTATTACTGGTGCAAATAAGTTACTACCATCTTGTAGCTGAAGAAATGGAGCTAGTTTGAACTTTATAGTGTGAAAAGCAGTTAATTAATCTACTACAGCACATCATTATTTTATTTAAGTCTGTCATATACAGTATTCTGTATGTACACTTAATCTGTAAAGTGTCTTGTAAATAAATTAATAACAAATTAATGTAGAGGAATAAAAAGTACAATATTTTCCCCTAAAGTGTAGAGGAGTAGAAGAGTGCAAAATGGAGATATGCAATCAAACTACAAGCACCTCAAATGTGTACTTAAGTACAGTGTTTGAGTAAATTTATTATGTTATATACCATGGGATTTGGAATATACCAGCACACTCTTTCATAAATCAGTCAACAACAGTGACTTGTGAAGTATCACACTGTGGCATAATGGGAATACCATGTCATTCAACAGGGAAGTGGATGTCAGGCGAATGATGACTTGGCTTTAAGTATTGCCGTGTTGAGGGACACTATGTTTGGAATGTACATGTTTGAGTCACTAAATGTTATCAACAATCCATATTCACGTGTTGACACCTGAGGAGGACTGCAGACAGGTGAGGCCCTGCGAGATAATAACGTCACTGCAGTGATTCACATTACTCATCACGAGGCTGTCACATCATCTCTCAACAAGTTCTGACAGTGATGCATGTAGAAAATGTTGATGATTCATGTAGCTGTGCGCAGTTGTCGTGTAGGGAACGTGGTCAGGTATCATCAAGAGCGTCATCAAGAGAAGTTTGTTCAGAATTAAAGTTATCCCCTGCTCCACCATTCAGATCAGTGTCCTGGTTGTGTACACAGATTTCATGCTAGGTGTTTGAAACACTAGCGACTTGGCTTTATGACTGGCAATCTTGGTCCGTCACGTTTGTCCATTTTGCAGTATTGTAGCAGGCATCAGATGAATTGCCATTCAATCTTTTATTACATATTTTCATTCGTATCTTAATATTCTTCATCACTAATATGACCCCCGACTTTTCCGCTAGTGCTAGCCCAATTTTGCCATTGATTTAGAGTGAAACTTCTCAACAACTGATGGAATGGCTGCCGTGAAATCTGGCACATTCACGTCGCCACAGGATAAATTATAAAGACTAGCATGCTAACATGCTACATTGTTAACGTCAGCATATCAACATGGTCATTGTCAGCTTGTTAGCATGCTGGCATGTGTATTTAGCTCAAGTGCTGCTGTGCTGTGCTGGAAACTACAGTCTCACGGAGGTGCAAGATTGTTTGTAGCCTCTTAATCTTGTTCACTTATATGAACCCGTGCCTCTGAGACCGGTTTTGAGTGTTGTGAAATTGAAAGTGGCACAAAACTGAACTGATCCAATATGAACTCCCCAGTGATCCCCCACATGCACAGAATATCATATCTTGTTCCACTACTGGGTTAAGGAGGGATAAGTGCCTGATTTTCCATAGAACTACACTACAGGGCTTTCACAATCTAGCATCACTCATCTAAACAGACACAGCTCAACAACAACATGACAGACAACCAAAAATCCTACACCAGTGGCTTTATTACTCATGCAAGTCAACAGAAGCTGTAGACTTTTGTGCAAGCTGTCATCCTGTGCGTTGTCCTCATGGTGAAATGAACTTATCCAATTACTCTTTGCCTAATCAGGCTGTTTTGGTTCCTCTCCTCTTGCAGAGGTACTCCACAGTATAAACAGTTCACTTACGCCACACAGAAAGGGGCTAATCAGTGGAATTATTGTTTTGCTGCTCCAATTTACCAGCTCCCTGTTCAGCACTGATTGGAATGAAAATTTGCCATTGTGTCTGCATGAACTCAGAAAATATAATGCAATGTAATCATTTTGTTAGCTGCAAGAATATACATACATTAGAAACAATTATGATGTACAGTTTTGATACACTGCGTCTCCAATGGAAAATGCATACGAGTCTTAGTACTTATCAATTAGGAGCGGTGAGGTTTAAAAAAGGTTCACATGGTTAATAAACCTCTCATGATTGGTGTAAATCACTGTTAATGAAAGCATTGGAAATTATTATATGGACAATCATTTACTAAAAAAACATTTCTTACTTTCTTAAATAAGTATTCAACAGTTTCTGACCATTGTTATATGTCCTAATAAAGAAAAAGCTGATATATCAAAAATTCAAAGAGGCTTTGAAAGAGCAGGAGCAGCTGATCACTCACTATTTAGTCATCAACTGACACTCTCCTCTGACGACCACATATTCCAAAGTAATTTGCTTTAATTAATTTCGCCTAATTTAACATTCACATCTACTTTACCGTCGTCCCATTCAAGGCTTAGAGCTGGAGAACAAATGCATGAGGTGAAAGAGAGGAGAGAAATCTGAGGGGGCAATCTCCACAATTAGTCCCTTAACAACTGGGCCTGGGTAGGGCTCTGTGAAGACAGCTCTTATGAGGCTGCAGCGCCACACAAAGCCACACGCAAGACAGTAAAAACACACAATAAAAAGAAGAAGAAAGAGGTTGGAAAGGCCCAGTCTCAGGAGTCAGGTCTGTCTCACAATTTGAATGTTACTGCTTCATTTCAAATAGTGTATGTTTTGAAGACATTATTAACAGGTGCTCCTTTATTGACAGAACAAAAGGATTAGTCTCTCGAGGGTGAGTGGTGTTTAATGGCCTGATTAGGGATCAGGCTAATCTCTGCAAAATTATGGACTTACAGCGGCACTGCAGGCTGGTATAGCCTGAGGAGATAAAACTCCATAAACTGACATTTAAAAATGAAAAACATTTTGAGAGAAAAAAAAATATATAAAAGAATATGTATCATTTACTTTGTCAATGTTTTTTACATTAACCCCATCATACAAACGTCCCTGGACCACAGGTAAGAACATACAGTATAAACAAAGGAACAAATGGTGTTTTCTTTAATTAGCTCTCTATTTTCAGGTAGCACAACTTTAACGCCTAAGAGCACCAAGCAGGCTCAAGCTAGTTTATATCATTGCTTTTCTGTCAGGTACACAGACAAGGCAGTCATCTGAGTCAAGTCAAGATCAATACTGATTGAGCTGCTTCCTCTGATGTTGCTACCTGGGAGGATATGTGGTCAACATAATTCAGTTAAATTACAGTATTCATTGACTTCTAACTTCCTGTGCATGTTTTCACATGCAAGATGGGTAAGAGCACATCTAAAGAACTTGCATTCCTCGCACTGCTTTTAAAATGTTCATGCAAACTCAGTGCCGCAATTCTCCTGGTATTCAGAGCAGTAAAAGCTATTTTATGAGTCTGTCAGGAAAAGCACATTATGGATGTCTCCCCAGCATAAAAACACTGGCAATGCACACAAGGGTATTTATGTTCATTCAGGAAATATCTTTCATTCATTCACATTCATTTTTGGATACATGAAATTAACAGCTATTTGTAGTTCGCTGCTTCTGTAACAGAGTTTGTGGCATATTCAGCCTTGTTTCTTTGCATGTGTCAATTATGGCAAATACACTGGCTGCTAAAAAGCAGTTTCACACCAGAAAATGGTGGGTTTGAGCCCCTCAGAGATACACTCATGTTTTCTACATGATCCCATCTTTCATAATAGATCACAGTGAAATCACAGTGCTCGATGGTATGAATCAGTACCTCACAAAGTGTCTCCAATTCCTATGTAATCTACTGTCAGATGTAGTGTCTCATACCAAACTGAGTATTAAAGGTGCATCTTTCCACCATGTCTGATATCACTGACTGACTGAAAAAAAAAAAAAAACGAGAAAGCCGTTCAGACAAGCCTGTTCTGTGTGCAGTTGAGAAGTGATTGCATGGGGGAGGTTTCCGTTTTCATGAACTCTGACTGAAAACAACAGTGTTAATTCCCTTATCATTAGCTTAACCTCTATCATTCCATTTATTTTGTTAAACCACGGAGCATGAGAGTGCCTTGATTGAAAGGAACCGTCATATGCACACCACTGTTGTCCCACATCATTCAGCGAACAAACCTTTTTA